ATCTATGATCGAGAGGAACATTCGGTGGTGTGCCAGACTGAGATGGAAAAGAAGGGGGAAAATATGCTGACATATGGTCATACGTAGTCGACGGGCGATGAATTACGTAAGATCGCCGTGGCTCGCCGATCAATCACCCACAGTGTTGCATAATGTTTCAGCATTGCGAAGTCACGCTTATCGCGCGCTTACTCGTCGATTGAATTATGGTGCTCGCGCACGCAGAATTTCATATGACTCCATTTCGCGATCGACCCAATATTAGCCGCTCGACGGAACGTGACGGTACACACAAGCCGTGTTTCTCGTTCTGTCGAAAACAATCCGAGTCGCGGAGGAAATGTCCGCTTACGGTAAGCTGCCATCAAATCCGCGTGTTTCGTCGCGCGTGGCATTTAGTTTACTCGCGCGCACTTCATTTCGCGGAGTGGACAAATCAGTCCAGACAAGCTTTTCATCGTCCCGCGACGACGGAGGAACAAAGAGGCGAGAATCAAAGTTTTTAATTCTCACACCCCGCCGCTAGCTCCGACCGAAACAGCTGATATCTACAGAGAGCTCGCTCTGCGTGAAATACCGGCCGGCTCAGCATACAATATCCGCGGACAGCCCTTCCCTCCCGCCGTCTCGAATTCCTATTAATTCGGCGATATTAATCAAAGAGCGACTTCTCTTCGTCAGAGCACGCCTCATTGTTTTCGGCCAACCCTCCCGGCCGGATTCAATATCGACATGTCCTGTGACGCAATGCGCGTTTACTCGCGTCGCGTTGTCACGCACACAACCTGCTCGGCATATAGCGCTCGGCGCGTGTACGCACATACATATCTCCCCCCCCCCGCGCGATACACTCGGCTCTCGCTCACGGTGAAAAGTGCGGAGGGATACGCCGCGCGACACACAAGGAGGAAGGATCACAAAGGCCGGGCGTCGTCGTCGTCGTCGTCGTTGCGAGCGAGCGAGCGAGCGAGCGAAAGCAGGTGCCGACTTCGAAAGAGCCGAAAAGAGTTCGACGTGCTTGTCGACGGGGGATCTCGCCAATCATCGCCGATGGCACATGGAACGCATATACCCGACGCTCGCGTATTTTCCGTTCTCTTTCCCCCGTTTCTCTATTTTTTATTGTTGTCTTCGCGACCCTCCGCGCCGCGTGGGGTCGCACACGGGGAATCCGCGCCGAGTGCATCCTCGAGCACGAGCGAGGAGCGAGGATGAACGAATTGATGAACGATGTGGAAAATCTTCGGAAACGAATATCGCTCAGTCCCACAACGTACATCCCGTAATTCGCACAACGAATGTAGGACGAGACAAATTTTTTCCTTTTTTTTTTTTTCAGCATCACCTTTCTTTCTTTCAGATCTTTCATCGCGCGATACTTCCTTATGGATTATTTCTAAAGCTGATCCTCTTGTATTTCATCACGATAATCTCCCGCGGGAACGAACGGTTTACGCGAGTTCGTTCGCGAGCTGATCGTTTCTCAAAACGAGCGTGCGCGAAACGTTCACGAGCCCTTCCTCCTTGGCGAGCCCTGAGAACCGACGAAGAACCATCAGCTTGGCTGCGTTCCCACCGGCGCCGCGGGAGCCTCCCGCTATTTTCTTAATCTGGCAGCGTGCACGGGCCGAAGAACAAACGAGCTCTCCGGCCGCCGCGCCGGTGTGCGCGCGCGCGCGAAAATACACGCGAGTCCGAGAAAAAGCCAACCCCGTGGATGGCATTCGATCGTGACCTCGACGTCTGCCTGCACCACCACCACCACCACCACCACCACCACCATCGTAGGGCCAGATGTCACCCCACATCCACTGTGACTTCCACAGCGTCTTTTCTTACCTACCTATCCTACCCTACCCTACCCTACCCTAAGCTACCCTACCCCTCCTCCCCCCTCCGCCGTCGCGGTTTCTCCCTCTTTGTTCTCGTTCCTTCCAATTCATTTTTATTGACTTCCCTCTCCTCCGTCTTTTCCGTCGCGGTTCTCTCCTCAGGTGATCCGAAATTATTATCGTCTCACGGCTGATCCGACCACGCCGAGTTCCCGCGGCCTTTGTTCCTTCATGCCGCGGATCAGCACGGCGAGCGACGAGTTCTTTTCACGTCGCCGCGTCGCCTCCACGGCAGAGTATAGGCGCGGCACGAAGGAGAGCGAGTGCGTGCTTGCTGACGAACAATATTGTGAAAATATCCGGCGGAAATTATGCACTTTTACGTATGCCTATCGTATCAGCGGATCTTTAGTCTTTCTGTCGAGAAATATATGAAACTCGACACTTCGGCATTCGACATCGCGTTAATCGCGGAAATCGCTGTTTCGAGGTAATCGACGGCACTTCGCGCCAAGTCAAAGGGAGGGGTGAAAGACTTGCTTGCGCGTGGGGTGAGAGACGCGCGCGCGTATTACGTTCCCGCAGGATTATGAAAGTTAATCCTCCGCCGTCGATGTGCCCCGTGTGTTGCTAACGCGGATCAAATTATACGAGAGAGGAATCGCGAAATATTATCCAGTTGCTACGAGGCTTAGGGAAAATCCATTTGCACGACGATGTAATTGAGTTTGACGAAAAAATTATGGAGGCAGATTTTCCATTTCGATACCGCGCGCACGGGGATTATCTGGGATTGTGCCGGGATCGCGAGCACGTCCCGGAAAAGATTGGACATTTCGCGCAGATCGGACGTAGCGCGAACACGTTAAGTTTAACGACTCTGATGTAAGAGCGCGCCGGAACGGGTTTTCTATTTATATCCTTAGTCGCGTTGGCGGCTGTAAAATACAAGATCGCTCGCTTCCTCCTCGCTGCGACGTTAATCGAAGAATATCGCCTCTCGCCGACGATATCAGCCGACGCTTTTGGGACACTCCGTAAATCGAAGTCGACCGTCTCGATAACGAAGGGTTAAGAGCGTAGCGGGGGAGAGGGTGAGCACGCGGTGATTCGTGGCGGGCCGAAATCGCCGTGGAAAAACGAGGCGTCGGGGCGACGAGATAGCGACGAACGCCCCGTAAGAAGGACAGAGAGAAAAAGAGCGGCTGCGAGAGAGGCGGTTGCAGGGGGAGGGAAGGGAAAAAGGAACGGCACGGCGGTAACTTCCCGAAAAATTAATATCCCGTGGGAAGGAGGGTGCACCGGCTGCTTGACTCTCGGGGACGCTTCCGCGCGGAGGAGCGAGAAAACGACGGATGGCGGCGCCGACGCTGCTGATGGTAGTGATGGTGATGGTGATGGTGGTGGTGGTGGTGGCGGTGGCGGTGGTGCGAGAGCGAACCGAATGGAAAGCTGGCGAAACTTTGTTTTCCGAGGCGATTCTCTCCCGTTTCGAGCGGAAGGAAAAGCGACAGAGGAAAGGGAAGACGAAAGCAGGGAGTGGCGCTCGAAGAGTGCAGGCCGAAGGCACGCGAAGGGACCAGACTTGGCACTCGCGAGCCAACTTCCTGAAGAAGAGAGAGTCGTCGTCTACGTGCCTCAGCTCGTAGTCGCGCGCGATCGGTCCCGATCGGTTCGCCGCCATTACGCTCCTCCAACGATCGGCTCGACCGGACGGTGGAATTTAATTGGGCTTGTGACCGCTTGACCGGATTAATTAGTCGGCCGATTGCGTTCGTCGACGAGATCTCTCTCTCTCTCTCTCTCTTTCTCTCTCTCTCTCTCTCTCTCTCTCCCTCTCTCTACTTCTCTCTTTCTCTCGGTCTCGAGAGGATGTGTTCGTGCTTCTTCGGGCTATTTACCTCCGGGCCGCCAGAGGGTATCCCTTTGTTCTCCGTCGGACTTAGGCACTACTAAATTCTTAAGAGAGGTTTGTTGCCGATGGACCTTAATTAAAAGTTACCGCTAAGCCGGATCGCGTAATTAAGCTCGATATGGGATACCTTGGAGGAGAACGTGCTACTTGGGCTGGTAGTTTTCGTGGTTTTTCGGACGTTAATTCTCACGCGATTCAATTTAGCGGGTCCTGACGTTTTCATCGCGCATTTAATATGCCTCCGATCGAGCGAGTAATAAGTAGAATGGGCGACTCGACATTTCGAAGGAACGTTCACTGAGAAAAAGATTTCTGTTTTGTCACACAACGAAATCTTGAGCGTTTGTACGGGGAAGAAATCAAACAGTTACGCAACAAATAATTTTTCGTTATTTGTAATTTTAGCAAATATATACTGCTGGAGATGCAACAGATACATTTGTCCCCATTGTAAAATTGTTAGTTGGAGCAACAAATCATAAGTAACAAGTCATTTGTTACCACAACGGCGTCACTTGCTGTCCCACACTAACAAACCATTTGTTGCGGTTACCGGTGTTTCGTTAACCCAACAAAATCTTTTTCCTCAGTGTTCCACTGTCTGCGGATACGAAAAAATTTCACTCGCGTGTATTTATTCGTGACTCTTCAAGAGTCACATCACGGTGCTCGTCCTGGTCGAAGAGCTGAATTTCTGCGAGTCGCGCGAGACTGCAAAATTGGGTCTCTCGTTCGCACGGAGTGCGAACATGGTGCGATCCGAAGGCGCGATCCTCCGAGGGACGCTCGTACGATCGTTTCATCGGGATTTTCGTATTCCCTCAAAGCGAAGCTACAGGCCACCGGCAAAGAACATCCAAGACGCGCACGGGTTGTCGCAGGATAAGGCGAGAGAAGAATAGGGAGGCGCGGTGTAACGGAGTGCCGGGACGAGAGGAGGAAGTGTTTGAACGTGGGTTAGAACGTGGTCGTAGAATTTTGGGAGAATTCTGACGAGGGATTGGCTGCGTCGGAGTGAACTTATGAAACGCCCAACCCCGTCGGTTGCGCGGAGCGAGATATTAAATTTCTGGAATTTTGCGGTTAGGCACGTCTACATGCCGGCGGGTTGCTCTCTCTCTCCTCCTCCCTCTCTCTCTCTCTCTCTCTCTCTCTCCCCCCCTCTGTCGGTCTCCCCCTCTCTCTTTCGCCGATACGTCCACGTCTACGTTCGCGATCACGTGCCGAGGAAAAGCCCGCTTTCGTTGCATTCCCACCGCGAGGGACGAAGGGTGGAACGATGCAGGATACGAAACAACCCTCGTGCGCATGAACGTTCCGTGGAATCATCAAAATTATCAAATCATCGACATCACAACGATCGCCGCTGCTACTCCCTCGGGTGGATCGATCAGCACCGTGGCGATTCCAAATTTACGAAGAAAACACGAAAATCGAACAGCCACGAAAGCGACGCCGCGATCGCCGAAGTAGATAAAGTCGGAGCACAGGCAGACACACAAGTCAGTTTCATTACTATCGACTTTATTGTCGTCGTCAACTTAGCTTAACCATCAGCTTAACTCATCAATAAGTTACGCGACATGTACAACGCAACATATCTGCGAAGCGCACAGTCGAGCGAAATCGTGTCGAGGGTGTCGTGTTTCCGCGCGGAGGGTCCCCGGACGATCTACTGGAAGGTGAGGAGGAATCTGGAGTCGCCGGCTGCCGCAGGTACTTGATAGTTCGCCGTGTAGGTGGTGTAGGCAGCGTTCAGAGGGTTGGCCAACGGCACCACGCTCGAGGGGTTGTCGTACTGGTATTGCACTTGCGCTGCCACCGGCTCGATCTCGAGTTTCTGCGGCTTGCTGTTGGTCGTCTGCTCCGCAGGTGCGACCGCGGCGACCGGCGCGACGGACACTTGCAGGCCAGCCGGTACGATCTGCAGCTTCTGCAGCGGCGCGTACGCGTAGATCGGTCCGCGAAGGGGCTCCACGTTCTCCGCGCGGATCTTGGCGAAGTACTTCATGGCCTCGACGTCTTGACGACTGACGTATCGCACGTGCTGAAGACGGCCGTCGGGAAGAGCCACGTAGTACTCCCCGGTCTGCTGCGGTTGCTGCTTGTCGTCCTGCTCCTCGTCCTCGAGCTCGTTCGCCGCGTTCGCGGCCTCGGGCTGCGACAGACACGATGCTTGTTCGTTTGCTTGTTTTTATCAATGAATATTTATCCTCTTGATTTTATTGGGAATTCTCGTGCTCGCATCTACGCATCTATTCCCTCGGGTATACCTGTCAGCTTCACGGAAATGCGAGATTCAGCAGAAAATGAGCAGTGATCAGAGTTCGAGGTATCCGCGAGGCCGGCGACAAGCGATGCCGCGACCACTGAAGTAGATGAAGGAGGAACGTAGGCGGACAGTTTCATTATCCGCGACATCACGATGTGAACGGGTTCACGTTAAGAGACGCAGACGCAAATAAAAGTCAATTCGCCGAAATTAGGTTCTCCAGCGAGGTACGTCGAGACTCGCGTCGAGTATCGCGAGGCAAAAACCGCCAAAGAAATTTGGCGAAAAAGGAAAAAAAAAAGGTGGTACACTCGCCAGACGAGTTCCCAGCGTGCGAACCGCCTCGCGCGGCGGTACGTATGTAAAGCGAACCCCATTCCGCGGGCGAACCTCTGCCGACGGCGGCGGATTTCTCTGTTTTATTCCTCTTTTTCCCCGCCAATGCCGCGCCAAACAGAAGACGATGGAAGCTCGTCGCGGACGACCTCGAGCGCGCTTGAATCACGGTTGAATGCGTTACGGGTTGTGTCACGCCGCCTTCGAATTTGGTACGGACGCGCGCACGTGCTCGACGCCACGATCGAAAGTAAACGACGTCTCGAATACTAATGTCGTTAGGACAAGCCGCGGCAGACGGCGGGAGGAAAGCTGAGGCGCCCGAAGACACGGGAAGAGAGAAGCCTCGGCCCGCGCGCCCGCCGTGCGATTTAAATTCCGCGACGCGGCCTCCGCGCCCATCGGCTCACATGCCAACTCGCGGTGCTCCAGTGCGCGGTGTTCTCTCTCTCCTCGGGACGAGATGATAAATCTATGTTTACGTAACGCGTCATGCGAAGCCGGGCGTTCAACATCGGGACTTGGAACCCGCACTTCGCAATTGTTTCCCTCGCGACTCGCGGGCGATGCCGAAACGACGGCCGGCCACTCCGATGCGATCCGCGCGCGATCGTCGGCGTGCCAGCATCCGCGATTCATTCTGCAGATTAGAACGTTCCCCGAACCGTTAAATGAGTCGAGTAGCTCCAAATCATCAGAGGGCTTCACGTCCATCGGACAGACATTCCGATGCCAACGCAGTCGACTCTTCTCGAATGAGACTCGATCGTTCGCAGCGTTTTCTCCCTTGCGATTTCGACATTTCGTCCGTCTGATTGTTCGGTATTCTCGCTAGAAAATTCATACTTGGCTCACCTCCGATGAAGTTATGCCTTGAACGGTGGATACCTCTTCGTCATCGTTGCTGGGATTCTCGGTCGTCGTAGACTCCTCTGGTATTCCGTATTCCCGCTGAGGACCGCTCGGAGCTCCGTATTGCTGCTGCGGCGTAGCCGGTGCTCCGTACTGTTGCTGAGGCGCAGTCGGCGCTCCGTATCGCTGCTGAGGTTGCTGGGCTGCGCTCGGTGCTCCGTATTGCTGCTGAGGTTGCTGAGCCGCACTCGGCGCTCCGTATTGCTGCTGAGGTTGCTGAGCCGCAATCGGTGCTCCGTACTGCTGCTGAGACTGCTGAGCACCGGCGAATTGTCTTTCCGGCAAATTAAAGGCCGGTCCCGTCGGTTTCCAGCCGGACGCGGCATAAGGAGCGTTATCGGCCGCCTCTTCTTGCTGGCGAGTGAAGTAATATTGTCTTTGTTGCTGATACTGCGGGCGATACCTCGGCGGCTCGGCGAGAACCACGGCCGCCAAAAGGGCGATACTGACGAGTACCTGTTTTCCGGGAGAAACCGAGCTAATGAATCGTTTGGTTAATCTCAATTACAGTCAGGTCTATATTATCCGCGAAAAGTCGAGCGATGTATATCTCTCTTTCCCTCTCTGGCAGCCTCTCTTCTTCGGAAGAGCCGCAATCGACTACGGTCGTACAGAAAGCGAATAATGAATCGGCGAATACCTTCATCGTTGTAGGAATGGTTAGCCGGTTGTGTTGTACGAGCTGACTGATTTCCGATGCCCACCGTCGCTGGATTATATACACGGTGTCCCGTATGCGTTCTGCATGTCTAAGGAGGATCCACGAGCGGGGAAGCGCGGCGCGTTCGACGCGCTCGGCGGGTGACATTGGCCTCCTAAAAGACTGATGAATCCCCGATCATTGTTGGCTCATCATCATCCGGTCGCGGCGTTCACCTTCGTCTTTGTCGGCGGAGCCGAGCGGGCGGCTTTTCAACAAAAGCGACGCTCTTCAATGCTCCGTCGCGCCGCTCCGGCGGCGGCGGTGCCCGACGCACGACGATCGACTCCTCCGTCTTCCCCGGCTTCACCGAACTCTCCGCCTTTCGCGCTTTTTCGCGCATTGTGCCGGTGTTTGCCGTTCATTTCGGCGGCACGCAAAGCGAAAGGAGAGGTTTGCGCTCCTGTCCTATCGACGATTTCATTCAAAGAGACGAACGCGCGCTCGCATTCGCTACACCCGGAGGAGCAGCGACTTTTACGCGTCGTGTCGTGGCGAAACGCGTAAAGACACCTTGGACTGTGCGTTCACACGCGACGTATTATTAAGATCCGCCTTACATAACTCCGTTACATGATTAAATTACACGAGAGCGCGCGGTTTACCTCGAGAGCGACTCGGCTCGAATTCCGAACGCCGAGAAAATTCGACTGGAGAATCGCGTGTAAAAGAGAGCAAAGACTTGAAAGTGTCTCTCGTGTCATTCGCGTCGCGCGAGAGACGTCTTGATATTCTCCGTGTGCGCTCATTATAATTTACACAACAGAATGCAACGCGCGCGCGCGCGCGCGCGTTCATAGACGGATACGCCTGTTGCCGAACTCAGCTCGACAGGTGTGTGGAAGCGCTCTTACTTTTCGGCAGCGTTCGTCTAAGAAAAGCATCCTCGACACGTACCATCCATCATCGATGGCGTGCCTCATCGTCCGTGACCATCGAGCGACTCATCGGGTAGTTGTCATATTTCACGGGTCGAAGCAAGGCCGTGTTGTGAGCGCGACGACGATTACGTCGACGTAATTTTAACTCCGGCCGTGCCTCGTCAGCGAGCGACCGAGCGACGTTCGTGCGTGGCATGCGTGGCCACTCGTCGCGTGTCACTCATTCCACGCACGGATTTCTTCGCCGGCTGGGGGAAGGCGGCGCGTGACGATGATTCGCACCTTAATCGAATTCACCGGCGCGTGCCCGTTCTGACCAGCATCCGAGAAAACGGGACCGTCACCCCCCGCGTGCACGCCGACCCAATACGATGCACCAGGGTCGCGCTCGATCGATCGCCGATAGCTCGGAATTTATAATGATCGATATCTTCGACTCGGCTCACCTCACCTCATCTCACCCCGCTTCGCCTCGCCTCGCCTCGCCTCGCCTCGCCTCGCCTCACCTCGTCTCGTCCCGCCCGGTCAAGCGCGAGAGATGTACGTGCACATACGTGCGTAAAACGAACCCCTGCGACCAACGGTGTATGACAACGACGCAGCTCGTACGAGAAGAGGCTCTTAGTCGCGCGATTGACTCACCTCTCGAATCCATCGCGTTTCGAAGATTTTCCTTGCGCTACTCTACTCTAGTATCAGGAACGTGGATGTATTCTTACACATCTCCCTCCCAGTCTTCTCCACTATCGCCCGGTACGACGTTACTTGTCGCGGTTGTAAATAGATCCCGAACTACACCTGGAAACTCGGAGGACATCGACTAGGAGTTCGCGAGACCGCGGAAATCGCGAAACGCGCCACTCTTTCTCCCTTTCTCTCTCTCTCTCTCTCTCTCTCTCTCTCTCTCTCTCTCTCTCTCTCTCTCTCTCTCTCTCTCTCTCTCTCTCTCTCTCTCACTCACTCTCAGACACGACGCGAAATAACGCGACTGTGCTGCAGAGGGGTTGACGAGGGGGTCGCGAGCAGGGGGTTGAGGGTACAACGGGGGCCGCGATCGGTGGTAGTCGCGCCGGGCCGAGAGCGGCAAAGGAGAGGGACGGCATGACGATGGTGGAGGGGTGGCCCGGGCAAAGCAAATTATTCACACTCAAACGACTCCATTTCAATATCGGGCCGAAGCCCAGGGACAAAAGAAGGGCGAGATGCCTGTCTCCCTCCTGCTTTCGCTTTGCGCCACGCTGCTGCTGCTGCTGCTGCTGTTGCCGCCGCCGCCGCCGCCGCCGCCGCCGCCGCCGCCGCCGCCACCGCCGCCGCCGCTCACCGCTGCTCTGATGCCTCTGTCTGCAGCCTGCAGGCTTAACTCTCTTCTCCTCTCTCGCTCTGCGCCCTCTCCCCTATGTCGTGACCCTTTTCTCTCTCTCAATCTCACTCTCTTTCATTCGCTCTCTTTCCATTTCTTCTTTCTCTCTATCTCCGTCTCTCCCCATTTCCATTTCTTTTTCTTCTACTTCGAAAGAACGATCTCTTGCTCTTTCTCTTTCTTTCTGATCGTTCTGCCCGCCTGTGTACCTTTGCCTTCCTCCCTGTTCTTTCTTTCGTTCTGTCATCTGACTCTCTCACGGCACATCGGCCTCGATGGTGGAAAACGCCGAGAGATGATACGCCGTGGAGATTCGCGGCGCCTCGCGACACTTTTCGCGCCCGACACTTTCGACACGGCTAGTTCGACCTTTGCGTCACTGCAGCGACATTTGGCCTCTGCGTTTGTTCGCAAGCAACACGCCTTGCTGGAGTAATTGTGCACGCTCGGCTATCTTTCGTGGAAGATTGTTTTCCCTAATAATAAGATAGCGCATAACTCGACGCGAGACCAACTCGCCAAGTGCCGAAGAATTTACACGGGAGCGATCAGCGGCGCGTAAATCCGTGTTCTTAAGAGGGACCGAAACAGAGAGGCGGGAAGTCGAGACCCTGGGCGGCTGAAAGCGGCCGCGCGGGTTAAAGCGAAACGTTCGCGAGGAGGAGTAGAGTAAAACAGAGTAGAACAGAGAGTAGAGTACTAGATATTTCTTTCCAAGAGAGAGAGAGAGAGAGAGAGAGACAGAGAGAGAGAGAGAGAGAGAGAGAGAGAACGAGGGACGAAGAAATAGCGACGAAGAGGGAGATAGAGTGAGAGGAGAAGGAGGAGAGAGTCGACGGAGGGCACACCAGGTTCGAGTCTCGTAATTGAATATATTTAAGCGCGGGAGGGACGTTTGTGCGGATTCTCGGCTTACAAGAACCCCATGCCGTGGTAACGTCTGCGAGTAAACTGGATTAATCGTCTATGAAGGGAGACCGTAACCCCGCCGCATTCGTTTGCAATCAGATCCCTCCGGGGATCTGAACTCGAAACAACGTAGCCCGAGCGCGCGCGCGGCCTTGTTTCCACTGCAATTTTATATCGATCACCGGCGAGCAAACAGGGGAAGATCGCGTTGTTGCAAACACGCCGCAAGCGCGGCCGGACGCATGCCGCGCTCCGGTTTGAAACCGAATCGCGGCGACGCGACGTGAACGAGCTGAGAGCACGACACGCATACGTCCTCGTCGGCGTCGCTGCCTCGTCTGATTTACAGACGCGAGGCGAAATTACGAGTCGCTATAAAGCGCGACATTTCTTCGCGAATCAGTCGTAAAAGACGATTTCGCAATCGTGCGCGCACGATCGTCGCGTTCTCGTCGACTCACAATGACCGAAGCGTCTTTTTTCGAACCGCGACGCGTCATCCTCGCGGAGAAATGAGCGACTCGCAGCGCTGCACGCGCGTCCTATTTGGATAATTACGCGTTTAGCGACGCATCCGTGAGCAAACTCAAACGCAACGCAGCGCTGTTTTCTCTCCTCTCGCGATCCGCGAATTTAACGAGATGGGGACGAAGCCTGAATCCATTTCGCTCCGAGTGAGTGTGTCACTTCTCACCCGCTCATTCTCCAGATTGAACAAAGATTCATGCGCGAGACGCTCCGAGGCCGCCACCTCGCTCGCTCGCAGAGTTTTGAAATGAACGATCTCGCGAGCGAGATCTTAGAATCTTTCAAATGTCCGTCACCGAACCGTAGACGTCGTCACCGTCGGAGCGGAACCGACCGACGCTCGTCGACGCGGGATTTTACCCGGGCGCGCTGCTGTTGCACCCTTGGGGACGCGGCACGGGGGTGCGTGGCGGCGCGCAAACTGTTTGGCTACCAGTTGCGCGCTCCCAGAAGGCTCGTTTTGCAAGTCGTAAACGAATTAAGGCCTTCCACAGCGCGCGTCGCATTCAGCCACCGGGGAGGAGTTACGAAACCGCTTTTGATTTACATTCCGGTCGCTCGCGCCGCGTGTATGCGCGCGCGCGCGCGCGAGCGACTTGTGGCATCGACACGAGATCGCTCGCGGTCACGTCGATTAGCAACGACAGTCGGCATCGGGCACTCGTTATCCTTGTCAGCGGCGGAATAGATCGTGAAACAAAAGTCCAGCGGCGCCGAGATCGCGCCTGTTTTCAAACAGCAGATAAATCTTGCACCATTTCCGGCCACGCTCTGTAGCCGCTCTGGTAGTTCGGCACAGTTTCTGCGACTTTAATTGATTTATAAAAAATACTCAAACATAATGGAAACTTACGGTGACTCTCGTAACAGAGAGTCGTCTGTGTAGACATTAGGTCGCAGAAAAGTGTCTCTGTCGGAAAATTACGCGGACAGAATTGATGAACGCGCGCTCGGCATCGGGCACGCGAACTAGTCGATACCGACGACGACGACGAGAAGACATCGTCGACATTGTCGACCCAACGAGAAACGCGTGAAGTCAATGTTTGCCGGTTTAACCAACTGTGCACAGGCGCCGTGGAGTTTGCCCGGCGCATTAGCGCGCCTCGAAGTTCAACCCTTCGCTCGTTTAATCACTCTCTATCGCGGTACTTCCGTCCTTACGTCGTCGACAAAAGAAGAGCGAGTTCTCTATCCGCGTGCGACACGACGAAAGCTCTTCACGTAAAACATACATTTCTCCTTGCAATCGGAGGGAGCGCATTGCTTATGCACTTCTTTTTTTCATCTACGCTTAACAGTCGAGTCTAGAATATCCCTCGAGCTCGGAGCTTGGAAGTGTCTATTTAAAAACTACTACGGAGGATTTGTGAAAAATTTGTCGGAAAAGGCTGTGATCGAAATACAGACTACGAAAATCTTTTCAAGATAGCTCGTCTCTAATCTAATCGCGGCAGTTAGGGGCCACGGTAAAATACAGTAGACTGTGGATGGAATATTTCATCGGATAGGTAATGATCCTCACCGCGACTTCCTGCGCAAGATAAATGTTCAGATTGAAGAAGAGAGGGAGAAACGACTGCAAAACTTGCCCAGAGTCCATCTCGATCTGCAGAGTTCGTTTCTCTCTAATTGATGAGTTCACCGTGTCCGAACTGTCGCAAAGCAGCGCGCGGACTAGGAGAAACTATCAGCCGCGTTGTTCCGAGATTCGCGGGTAAAAGCCTCGTGGAAATCGGGAAGAGAGGAGGAACTGCGCTGCGTCGCGTAAACGGAGTTTAACCGCGTATCTCGCGTAGCGGCGGGAAGAGCGAGAGGAGGAAGAAGGGAAACGCGGCAGGCTCGAGGTCGGGAGGGAGGAGCAGGGAGAGAAGAGGGAAAAGGATGGGGGAGGGAGTGGAAGTCTCGAGGCGAAACTTGCAAAAGTACATCGCGGCTCAAGAGGCCGGAAGTAATCGCGCGAGTTCCGTGCCGCGCGAGATCCGCGTTATCGCCGAGCGATTTCACGGCGTTTAGTGGCTGGCGACCGTTGTTCCGCCTGGCGCGTCGAATTAAAAAAAAGCGAATTAGCGTGGCCCCGCCTCAACTGCCGTAACGACCCCGAAAAATGCGCCCCGTCGACGACGAGGATGTCGTCGAGGTGTGATACGGCGACTTCGCGTCGCGGTAAATCCTCCGCGCGGCGCCTCAGGATCCTCTCTCGATCGATCCGCGGCATCCGCTTCTCCTTAACGAGGGTACAATCGGACTATTTGAACCGAATCACTCCGAATCGCGCTGATGGCTCCCGGAATCTTCAGCCGCGATTTCGCGCGAATTAATCAGATTTGCCGACGGATGTAATAAAAAAGTTCCCGAGGAGAGGCGCGTCGGTAGATCGTGGAGGCGTTTGATAAGAGGATTTGACGGATTCGAGCCAGCGCGGGAGATTTAGGGGTTCGCAACCGAGAAAAGATGACTCGAGAGGGCGAGAGACCACGGTGGAGGAAGAGGAGACGTTACAAATGAATCGCGTAATAACCTCCATAGTCCCTCTCCTCCTTTCCTTCGTCGCCCTCCTTCCTCCTGTTCTCTCTCTCTCTCTCTCCCTCTCTCTCTCTCTCTCTCTCTCTCTCTCTCCCTCTCTCTCTCTCTCTCTCTGTAGGAGCTGCTTATGTATTCCGGCGTACGGCTGGTTGCACCGCCGCTAATGGAGTTTCCAATATTTTCCTTTCCGCGTTGCCTCTCTCGCTTCTCTTTGCCTGGTTTTACGCGCTTTCCATCCCGTACCGGCCTCTCTCTCTCTCTCTCTCTCTCTCTCTCTCTCTCTGCCAGTGTCAGTCCGCTCGCTTGATCGATTCTCGAACTCGCCTTCCCGCCCCTCGCGCGCATCCCTTTACGTTTATCCGACATCTGCGTTAGTCCGCGAGGTCCGCTCCGACGTTCTTTAACCCTTTGATGCACCTCCGGGTGTCGAGATCAGTACGCGAAGGCTTCGTGTAATTCTCTCAATGCTCGAGGAGGTCGGCTTATCGAGACTCACGCGTGATTGCGGATCGCGCGTTCAACGAACAATACGTAACAATATCCGTTCGAGTAACTTG